ATATTACCGCACAAAGTTTTAATTCACGTGAGTTATTCCGGTAGTTACGTGTAAATAAAAAAATATGATATTCGTGTCAAAGTAAATGAAGTGAAAATAATGCTAATATTTGGTGTCATATGCTTGTACGGGCCACGTGTGCTGGTGTTGATAAAATATAATTATAACATCGCGGACGTGCAAGTGTGTCAGTCGGCGGGCGACATTCATTTAGTTGCGCTTGCGTCTCCACTGTGAATGACGATACGGCAATCATGGCGAGAAATTACAAATAATTGTGATTTAACAGGATAGCAATTCCATTAAATCATCATCATTATCAGGTTATTAATATGCTCACTTCTGGAGCCTTCCCTATGGATGGAATAGGGAGATTGGACCATGTTATGACCCAACACGCGGGTCTATTTAGTTAATGGCTGCTAATGACAGCAGATGCAACCGGAACCAAGGGCTTAACGTGCCTTCCGAACTCCGCACGGAGAAGCTCGATATAATAATATTTTGGTCGCCGATCCGATGATCGACCATTGCGAAAGTTTCTTAACTTCTGCGACCGCAGGCCGAACGCTTACCACCTGCGCCTTCGAGCTCTTCCATTACTTATAATATATTAATAATATCATTCAATAAATCAAAAGAAAATAAAAGGTCATTTTTATTTACTAATGGATTAGTTCATGTAGATTTTGCTTATGGTAGTTTACTATTTAAGAACTAAAAATTTTGCATTTTGGCCATTAGTTTTGAGAAATAGTCTTTACGTGTAGGTTTAAATTTCTACTTTAATTCATGTTAACCTTTCAGATTAAGAAAAATACTAATTTTAATATTCTCATTAGTACTGAATAATTTTTCATAAAATGAAGTACATAGCTTTAAAGAAAATTAATTGTAAGCACCTAACAATTGTCTTTACACTAAAATTGCCATAGACACTTAATATAATATGGCATGTGATCGTTACAAAGTTTTTTTGCCTCATAGCGCGGTTTTGTTAGACGTAAAAACAGGAAAGTATGCCAAACTGTCAGGAACTGGGTGTTCATATTGGTTCCGTGGTGTTGCGTGAACGAGCACGCATCGATGTTGTTGCGGTTTCGGCGAATTTCTCAATACGTACGTGTTTGGAGTTGGTGGTTTGGAGACTAACTTATAATTTCGACGAAAATCTTATATGTTATAGCTATTAACGGGATTGTTACCATGTACCTTGTTTTTTATGAGTCTCCGATATTTCGACACTGTTGCAAGCGCCATGATCACGGTGTAACTCCGTGATCATGGTCCTTGCAAATTGGTACATGGTAACAATCCCGTTAATAGCTATGATGTTAGTGACGTGGAAGTTTAAAACAATACATCTTACATGTTTGTAATAAAGATTAATTGTCGGTGGTAACAAACTCTTGCTCATTAAGAACACTGAAGCAAAAAACGGTCGTTTATTAGGGTGCCATACCCAAATGGTCAAAACGGAACCCTATTGCTGTAACTCTGACGTCTCTATCTGTTTGTCCATATGTCACGTATCTCTAGATCGTAAGCTGAATGCGTTACAGAACTGAAATTTGGTTAGTTTTTGTATGATTGCACAAAGTTAAATATTTAGTTAAAAAAATCAATTTAATTTAGTTTTCATGTGGGGTCCCATATTTCATATCCTTGATGCAATAACATAATAATTGCATAATTGCTAATTTTACAGGAGAACAGTATAAAGTTTTTTAAAATGTTTCACAATAAATAACTTTTTATTGATATACTAGCTGACCCAGCGAACTTCGTACCGCCATAAAAAATAGGCGTTGGTGGTAGAAAGTTGAAAATTTAGGGATCTATGTATTTTTGTATGCAGTATCATAAAAAAAAAATATTATCTAAAATTGAAAAAAAAAATTGAAAAAAAATTTAGGGTTGGATTACCCTTAACATTTAGGGGGATGAAAAATAGATGTTGTCCGATTCTCAGACCTACCCAATATGCACACAAAATTTCATGAGGAAAGCCGTTTCGGAGGAGTTTAACCACAAACACCGCGACACCAGAATTTTATAAATCAGATAAAATGTTGTTGTATGAACATCTAATGTTTATAACATTTAATAGACCTTTAACATCAAGAAAAAACTTTAGGAAAAAAAACTGTTTAGTATTTACCATTAAATTTAAGTATTTAACCTTATATAAGGTTATTACTCCAAAAACTGGAAGAAACAATTACTTTTGTTTCTTGTGGTTTTTTCTCCAAAATCATATTAGAATCTGGAGATATAAACGCAAAAGAAACTGTTATTCTGTCTAGACAAGTATGTCTGTAAAGGTGCCTTACCCTTAGCCGGCCCGAGGGCAGATATGGAATATACGGTATAGCGAGCTCACCCAGAAGGAGTGAATACTCTGCCTTTAAAAATAAAAAAGCATTAAAAACACTTCTCGCTTAATTGTGAACACACGAATCTCATTATATTGCAGTTAATCGCACTGCAAGCTACGCGCCTAGATAGGTGACCTGTCTATCTCCCAGCTCATCCTTAAGCGAGAATTTTTGAATTAGTAGTCTTAAGGCTGATTTACACTTCGGTAAATACAGTATTGAGTTAAGTCAAGAGTATCGGATCGTGACAGAAAAACTGTTACCGTGACGAGACCCTACAATTAAGACACAACAGGAAGAAACAGAAAGAAAAAGTAAAAGCACTGACATGATTATTTGAAAAAAAAATTGGTCACTGTATCACCGTGCTTTGAATTGCACCGTGAAAATTGTTATTAATGTTGTGGCAGCGCCAAATGAGTTCGGTGTTACAATATTGTAACAGATGTATAACATGGCTAAATAATAATATTTGTAAGTAAATCCAGTTGATACGGGACAGCGTACGAATCGGTGTCGTTAAAACATACATACATGAACACTGAAAACATTACACTCTTTTTTGGGCAATCGTGTCAAAATACAAAAGATCTTTTTAATTTACTGATATTTTTAACACTTTCATTCTACTTATATGTACCTCATCATCAGCCTATTACTGTCCCCACTGTTGGGGCACAGGCCTTCCCTATGGATGGAATAGGGAGATTGGGCCATGACCCACCGCACGGGATCAGTGCGGATTGGTGGGTGCTAACGACTGCAGATGCAGCCGAGACCAACGGCTTAACGTGACTTCCGAAGCACGGAGGAGCTCGAGATATTAAATTTTGGTCACCCATCCAATGACCGACCACTGCGAAAATTGCTTAACTTTAACGATAGCAGCCGAACGCGCTATCCTTTTGCGCCATATAGCTCCTCATATGTACGAGCTACTTATATGTACCTATGAGCTTTTTTCTTAAAAATCTAAAACTTTTTCAAATATACAGGAAGTTTTATGATTTGTGTTTGATAACTTGCAATAAGGTATTCATTGGGTACCTTTTATATATATGTATATTATTCAATGTCCCTGGTTATAAAAAATTTTAGAACACATCTTTATATATATAATTCTTCTGTGAGTGTGTATGTCACTGAACTTCTCTTAAACGACTGGACCGATTTTGATGAAATTTTTTGTGTGTGTTCACGGGGATCTGAGAATGGTTTAGATTCACAATTTTGTCCGCTGGACAACCCCTATTTTTTTAGGGCGGTACGAAGTTCGCTGGGTCAGCTAGTTTAAATATAGTTTTTGATTGGGTGAAACTGGTAATTATTTCAACATTTTGATAACAAGGTAAGGGCTGTATGATGTGGCAAAATAAGATTTTTTCTAAAGTTGTTACAGTTAGTTATATTTTTATTTAAAAGCATTTAACTGCCAAATGTTTAAATCTAAATAACATTTATCTACTGATACAATTTTTAAAAATTTTTGATTATTACGATTAATTCAATTATTTCTTATTTTAAATTAAATAATAAGCAACGATGCTGGATGCATAACATCAAATCGAAATTTGTTGTCTACTTTATACAAGTTGCAGCAAATTACCGCATCCAACTTGGTGCGGTAAAAACACAGAAATAAAACAAGGGATAAAAAGAGTATCACTATCGCCAGAGTCATTTTCACTTTACGGTTTGAACCCTTGTTCTGTGGCTTTATCAATCTACGCCAACGGAGGTTAGGAAGGAACTTTATTCACTGGGAGAAAGTCATATTTCTCTTGGTTTCAACTTTTCTAGGTGTTATGTTAACCTATACAAAAGTTTTTTAAAGGGTATGAAATGAAGGCTATGACACTGAACTCGAGTAGGGTTCAATAGCTCTATTGAGCAACTATCTACCTAATTGTTAATCAAGGCGTCACATGAAATGAAACGCACTTTTGGATTGCTTCAACATGACAACATTTTCATTAGCTGGAAACGAGAATTAACTAAGATGAGCTTTTTCGTCTAGTACCTAACTGGTTTTGCCTAGTGTACATTACCACGTATAGCCATTACTCGATGAAGTAACTACGTTTTTTGCTACAATAACTGGAAATGGTCCTAGGAAAGATATAACGGAAAGTTATACGTTAAAGGAAATGTTTACATTTCTAAATTCCTTACTAGTTGAGCCATCGTTTATATTAACGAACGATCGATACTTCGAAGTTACTCAGGCTCATTTAGGAAAGGGTTTTAGTAGTAATAAACTTTATTACTATAATTTCACAAACAAGTAAAATAAAGAATTTAATAAAAAAACATTAAAATAACTTGATATTGTTATTTTAATAGTAAAATGTATGATAACAGTTTTAGCGTTGGTATAGGTAATAAATTGTTTTTTTTCTGTTTTCTTACATATATGTATACTACATATTTTTAATAATCAAGAATTTTGTAGATCAAGCAATTTTAGTATGGTGGATGCACTGGTCATTTACGCTTGTACCCCTTGCATTAAAATAATATTTTAATATTAAATAGATGTTAACCAATTATGAGAAAAAAAAAACAACTTTCTACTTTCAAATTAAGTTTTGACTTCTATTTTTTACGCAGATAAAAGTGACAAAAAAAAACATTTAATTTGCAACTAAAATATTTTCCTTCTAAAGATTTGGGTACCTACCACAATGTGCACATGTTTTTAGTTTAAGGTCTTTTAAAGTTTTCTTCAGAAAAATATTCCTTTTTCTTAGACGACGAACTGTTTCTTGTAATGCTTTTACCTTTCGCCTTGTAACAAGCTTTAAATACTGATGTTTTCTCAGTTGTCTTCTCAAATTACTTGTTTGAGGATCATCAAATATTGATTGTAAGTCCGATTCATTCAATTCGGTGTCGTCAAGATTCTCCTCATCACAGGTTTCTGGTTTTTGATTAACACCAGAGGAATTTAATGCAGCATTATCTTCTTCAACGGTTGCATTTTCTACTGGACATTTCGAACTACCACTTGCATCACTTGGTATTTCCAATGATTGTGGGGGCACACCTAAATTCTGTGTCGGTTTTGATTTTCTTTTTAATAACCTACGACCTTTGTCTGTAAAATAGACATCTTCGTCTCTAAAATGAGATGAGCAGACAACACAAAATTTTGACGGGCGCCAACTATTATCTTTCCTGCTTTTACGTACAATAGAAAGCCATTCAGCATATAAATCGATATCTGTCGGAAACCTGCAACAAAACAGGAGTAGAAATGTTTTAATATAGAATTATAGTTCTTTCTTTTTCTTTTTTTATGGAGATTTATAGTTCTTCTTCTTTTTCTTTTTTTATGGCATGCACGGTTTGTGCGTTCAGCAGATTTATAGTTAATTATTTATAGGTACCTACTTAACTTTATTTTTTGAATTCCTTTAGTAAGCAGGCAAAGAAGAAGTGTGTCTGTTACCTCTATATCTATAATTATAAAGGACAACAGCTTAAAGGGTGAATTCTGGGATAAAATCTATCCTGTTCTTTCCTGGCACTCAAACTATATTTACACCAAATTAAATCTAAATCGATTCAGTAGTTTTACCATGATGAGGTGACCTGTCACCGACCAAGGCGGACGGACACGGCGGCATTTATAACATAAGTATGGATTTAAAGATTTTAGCAGCATTTTTTTTTAATTTTGAATGCTGATTTGTCAATTTTTTAGTTGTAATGACTTGTTTTAATAAAAAGAACTTAAAATCATGAATGAAGGTAAACGTGTTTTTTTCCTGGAACTTGTAATTTTTCACAGTACAGAATTCAAAAGGAAAACCCCGTTCGTTTATGTTTGTTTGAAGTATGAACGTAGTTAACTGAGCGCATTTGAAGAATATTCATTTTTGAAAGCAATGTGTGTGAAATCAAACACATATACCTAAATTAAACCATTTATTTGTTAAGAATGTTTTCTTGAAATACAATACCAAATTTAGAAAAAATCACGTTCCCTAGTGTTTTTTTCATTTTTTTTAACATCAACCAGATTAACTTGATTAAGTTATATTTTGATTATTCTGAAGTATGCAATCTACGAAAAGTCAAAATGATTCAAATACAAATAGAAATGACCCAAAATAAACAAACAAACATAATAATAACATTATGATGTATTCTACTTTGGATTAGACCATCTTTGTCTAGGTTTTATGTTCCGAAATAGCAATACCTAAAATAATACTAATACATACCTATGAAATGATATTCCATCTTCCTTTTTTTGAGTTTGAGAACTGTTTTTACAATGTTTGAACAAACAAGATGGCATTGTTATTAAAACTTCACGGAATATACGAAACGTATTCAAAACACGACGCTTTGTATCGTACTGACGCGAGCGTGTATTCGCCCTTGAATATGTATTTGCTTTGTCGACCGCACTTCTCCCCTTTCCTTCCTCGCCCACTGCATTGCCGTGCGTTCCATTTGCCTTTGTAAGTATATTTTGTTCTGCAATCTGGGTTGGGAAGTTTCTTTGCCGAAGCAAAACTGATTAACAAAAATAGATAATCACAAAATCTATCCATAAATGGTTATGCGTGACTTAATGTTATCCATAATTTATGATACTTAATATTGTAAATGTGTCTGCCTGTCGGTTTGCTTTACTGTCTGTCTGTTGCCTTCTCACACTAAACCGTTGAACCGATTATAATGCGATTCAACTAAGAATAGGACCTACTGGGCGCCATTTTGTGATGTCATAGCTGTCAATTCAAACCAAATAAGTAGAGTGAGCAAATAAAGTTTTTATTTAATAAAACTTATTTACTAAGATTAAGTGAGAACAAGCAACCACCGATTTTTAATAATATTTATTTATTAAGACTGTGAGAAAAACATTAATCAGAATCTACTTAGCTCTTCTATTCCGCACATCTCTGCATTACCGCCGGAGTAGTTATGAATAATCATGCACTATTACTAGGTCACATACGCACATGCATCCTTTATGTAAATGAAATTTTGAAATCGAGTTTCTGAATGCAACTTAAAGTGACATTTGGTTGACGATTTAGGTTATCAACCATTCATGACCAAAGCTCAATAAATGAAAAAAAATATCAACCGATATTAATTATCAATATTTGTTATTGTTTGTTTACAAATGTTTGGTTTTTATTCTTGAATTAACGGAATACTAAAAAAAGGTTCCAAGTTCTTTTTGCAATCCGTACTTTTCAAGCGACATTTGACAGATAGAGGTCATTGGCTTTCCTATTCTTGAATCGCATTATAGGATTAAAAGGAGATTGGTCAAATTGGCCTAAATGCAAATAAAATATTGACATATACAGTAATTCTTGGCGTAATTTATACTTTATTTTACAGTCATTAGATTTTAACGGCCACCTTTAAATAATATATTAATTTTAAAAAAGGACTTCTATTTTTACCGGTTTGGAAAACATACGAATCATTTTTATTGGCTATGGGTTTAGTAACATTCACAAAGACTGATCGAGGTTGTTTATATAACATCAAAACAAATCTATTTTGTAAAGATTGATAAAATATTTCGATGATATTTTAATTCAAAATGTAGATGATATGTAATATTAAACGCAACATAAAAGTACTTAAGTTGTTTTATTTCATTAATTTACCTTATCAGAATATTTAAGCTATGTCAGGAATATACATATTTCACACATTGATCAGAACTATCATGAACCTACGCAATATATTATTACATTAGAATTACCTTTTACCATTATAAACCTAATTATTACTAAGAAAATATCCTATTGGTTTTTATAAAATTATGAAAACAGTTCCATGTTTCTCATAACATAGGTAAGCAGGTACCAGTTCCTTGACATGCATTTTGTTAGTGTAATTAGAGTTAGACACTTGTCAAATGAAACAAGATTGCTTCTGAAAGTCGCAATGGCATAATCATGATTTTAAAACTTACTCTTGTGCATTAATTTTAAAAACAGGCAATTATCTGTTATTTTACATGCTCTATATACCTGAATCTAATACATAATATCGGTACTTGGCTTGATTGCCCTATTTTCCTATATAAGTTATTTGGTTTTTATTATTCTAATACTTGTGCCTATTTGCAAACATAACCTCAAAATCATTCAGTGTATATGGTTTATAGAAGTTCTCAGGAGTGGCCGTCGATAATATTCGTTTCTACGGTAATTTATATATAATTTCGAATCTAGGAAACAATTTTTCATGGTTATTGGTTTTTAGGCCAAACATGTATGGAAGCTGAGCAATCTCCTTTTGTATAGATCATGCGTAAGCATCTAATAGCCTGTGGTATAGAGGTAGGTACCTACCTAGTTTGAGTTTCAAGAAAGGACTTATATGATAGTTTTTATCTCCGAAATCATTGTTTCGGGGGGCAAAATGCGGGGTGGAAGTATGTATTGAAAACTAATTGTTCCACGCAAACAATTCGCAGACACCCACTAGTTAAATTGTAAAAACTATACGAAAGAATTGGGACCTTCCACCTTTTTTTATTTGGTTAAAATAATACCTACCAGATGATTGCTTGTGACATTTTCAATGTTGGAAATAACCAGGCATTGAGCTAAACTGGAATCAATCACTGACCTGACTATAAGCACTTTACTTTAATGTCCTAATCTTGTATGATTAACTAGTTGTACCGGCTATCAGCATCACTAATACCATTAAGAAAAGACTCATGCAAATTAAAATCTATAGATCATCAATGTAGAGGTCATCCACTTTCGAAAGAATACGTACCTGTTGCAAACTACATAAGTGTGGCAATGTTACAGTTAAAAACACTATAGGTATTAATTTCTTAACTGATCTTTACCTGCTTGCAAAAGTGTTAAGGATTAATCGTGTGAAATATTGTAACACGAAAAGATTGCTACTGTGCAATATATTAATAAATAACAGGGGTACCAAAAAAGCACTTGCTTTATTTGGAACAGAAAATGTAAAGATTTTGCGAGCTAAACGCTGGATAATAAATTAATAGAAAAGCGTACACAGTTATTACACATGCGTAAACTTTGTTCATTATTTTTTGTATAGTTATGTAGGTACCTATTTATTAATAAAGAAAACTGAAATATTTTACAGTTAAATCATGTAAATAAGGTTACTCCATATTTATTCTGCTCAAAGCGCCATCTAACGTCTATACGCATTATCAACTCGGCTTATCGTGCCACAGGTATAGCAGTAAAGCATGCTGCGAGCTAACGGTGTGAAAGTTGGCCACTAGTTGGCGCCACTTGTAACGTACTGATAACTCCGTTGTTTTCATAAAGATAGCGCCATGTGCTGTGTAATATTTTTGTCTTTGGTGAAGAAGTTTTTTGCTCTACATTGATTTTTTTCAATTTCTGTTGTAAACTCACAAATGTTTGTTGATCCTCTTTGAGAAAATTATCAATCCGATTGTTAGTATTTCACTGTTATTGCAATTGCTTAAAAAAATTAAAAAGCCGTATTAAAATAAGTACCTATCCTGTTGACTTGTTGTTTGATAACAAATGTAGAGCTTTTAACGCTACTTTGTATAGAGCTTGATTTTTTTACCTATTCCCATATTCTGTCCATTATTCAGTCCATTTATTAGCAAATTCTTAATATGTAAAAGTGAATTGGAGTGTATTTTGGAATTATATTGTTTTAAGACGAGATTAATTCGACGAATGCAGTCGTATGCGCTGAATTCGTATCAATATAATATCTTTAGTTATTTCTACTATCGAGCAACAATTAAAAATATTAATAAGATTTAAACTTTGGAAACACATACATATTTTCTAATATAAAAATTAGAAGAAAATAGTTTTTGGGGTTCCGCACATCAAAAGTAAAAAAACGGAACACGTATCTGTTTGTTGTCCGTCTGTCTATCTGTCAAGACCGTTTGTCTCAGGAACGCGGATATGTTTATAAATCTAAATAAATATTTCCGTTTATATTGCGTACCTACAAATTTGTACGGAACCTCCGGTGGGCGAGTCCAGAAAAATAATAAAAGGGGTTTAATCGATTCGTTATTTATCAGTCCTAGTGATATAGTTAAGTAAGTAGGCTTGGAGAAAAGATGGATTTTTTGAAAGGAAAATGCATCCATTCTCATTTTCTAATAATTCTGTTCACGTTTCGTTTTTGCCTTCATATTGTTTAACTAATTTCTGTATAAGCTAATATTAATTAAGTATTGATAATTTTGTTCTATTTTTTTCTGATGAAGCTTTTGGTAGTTGTTTTAAAACATGAAGAATTTTAATCAATCAAATGTCAGAAGCGATAGCCGACATCACTACAAAGATCCTTTTTTATTATTCAAAAATATTTCGTTTTTTCTCCGGCTATCTGCTTACAACCTGCCAGTGTATATCACAATAAGATGTGTCCGTCACGTCACGATTGAGGTTTTCAATTTTATTTCGAAATAGAATTTACTCAACAAAAAGTGCTCAACTCTGTAAAAAGCACGTTCGTTCTTTAAATTCTCTGTTTGACTCTTAAGATTTATCGGCCACACTCGGAGATGCAAATTATATTAAATACTTGTCAAAGTTGTCACAAATTATGTGCTTCTTTCACATATAAGTTTCAACATTAGCTACAGATAAACTGAAAATTTTGTTAGCATTTATGATTAAGTTTATGCCGTTTTTTTGTATTTTGAACCACAAATAGTTTTCCTTTGAACGACTAGGTAATGAAGTGAAATGAACAAAATACTGTTTGTTTAAACATAAAAAAGTTTCAAAAAGGCTTTCAAAAAGTAGTATTCTTCAATTACTCTTTGTTAGCTGCGTTCATACTTCAAACAAATATAAACCGAACGGGGAATTCAAGAATTTTCCCTTACGACGTGAATGCTGCCAAGTGCCAATTGTTGTAAGCTTGGTTGGTAATTTTCAATAAAAAAAGTTTGGTAAGTTTAAAATAAATAGCAAACATCTTATAACCTGGGTCAGCTAGTTTTAATATAAAATCATAAGCATTAATCTTTAACGGAAACTTCCAAATAATCCTGAATTCTGCACTCTTAAAAAAAGTTACTTAAGAAAAAACACGTTTTTTTTTCATGTACATACAACGATAATATCGTCATGTGCATATCTTAAATAAATTAACACAGAATATAAAATCGCTAAGGAACATTGGTTCGATTTCAGTCAGTTTTCCGCTACTACAAATTGGTAAGTTATAAATAATGGTTTTTAATGACTACTATAGAGAAGATAAGCCCTCACTTGTCACAAAGTTCCAGGTATTTTTTATAGGTAAAGCTCTGTACCTATATATGTACTTATAGGTAACTGATCGTAAAATGTATTATAATATACTTGATGTGATGACAGAGTTAATGCCATTACTTATTCTGTGCTTGTTCTCTGGTCTGTACAGGAAACATGCGATTACATTTTTATAGTGCCTTTTATATGACTGTACCCTGCACCAATATAACAATACTTACCTATTTTTTCTGGCTTAATAGCGCAACGAAGCTTCGGAGTTACCAACGAAGTAGTGGTGACTATCATTTCGCTTAAAGATAAAACATTTTGTCTTGAATTATCGGGTAAAGTAATAATACATAATGGATGAATATCGAAGCAATGAAAATTATAAGTTTCCAAATAATAAAGTAAATAAAATGATAATATACATTAAGCTGTGCATAGTGAGTAAAATTATAACCGAATCTCAACTTTCTGGTTCTGTAAGCACAAACGTGTTGGCCGCGTGTAAAATTGACTGCCCGTCCGATGAATCTTGTTTAATTTTTTTTTCCTCGTTGAAGATGTATCAGAGGCATTATCCTGGAGGCTTCGTTTGGGGCGCGGGCGCAGGGCGCGGGGCGCGGGGGGCGGGGGGCGGGGGAGGCGGGGCGCGTGCGCATAACTCCGTCGTGACGTCACGAGGGCCCGGTAAAAACCGTGAACCCGCGCACTCAAGGTCCTCAACCATTCTGCATTTACATCTTATTATATCTACATAATAATGTGTTTCGCTCAGCTTTGTTAGGTATATGTTCGAAGGGCATAAATGTTATATATATGGGATTTATTTATCAGCAGCATTTGAATGCTAAAAAGTTATAGACTGTAAGAAATTAATCGATGACAACATTCTAGTAAGATTTAAATGTAAGTAATTGTTTATTTTATGTAAAAAAAGGTGGCGAACTAGGATATGATCCGCCATATGGTAAGCGGCCACCATAGCCTATAGGTGCTTCCGGTACAAAAAAATATCACTCGCGAAGTTGCCTACCCTGACCCAATCCCCTAACCCTTCTAGCCTTACTCACCGACAGAAACATAACACTATCAACACGGCGAGTGTTCTAAAGAGTTATTCTCTCTTATTCCACCTTCCCCTTTCCTTCAGAGAACCACGCGCGCTGGCCTTCGGTGTCACCGTCTAACTGTGGCCACAATTCCAACGCGTACAAAGAAATTTGGTGACTCATTTCTTTGTCGCACTATCCGTAAATGGAATGCTCTGCCTGCTCACGTGTTCCCTCTTTCTTACAACCTGGGATCCTTTAAAAGAGGCGTGAACAAGCAACATGCAGGCCGGCAAGATGAGGATGGCTGGTGTCGCAGGAAGAACTGCTGTACCAGCTATTTTCACGTCTGGACTTTTCCATCACTTAACATCAGGTGGGGTGGAGTCATTTGTCGGATCTACCTATATAAAAAACAGTGAATGTGATTTTACTGTGGTCTTCTGTAAGGTGGAAATTACTTCCCCAAATTCGCTATGCCCTACCGCTCTTAAAATTACGGCGTTTAATCAACATCTAGAGTAACTAACCTATTTCGGGAGACGTCAAATGATATAATAGCGATGTAAACGACTTTTAACGGTAATTTCGAAGGAAAACACGACTGTCGTCTCCGCCGAGTGATTGCTCTATCGTGTTGTTACAGTTATGAGTACAGCATAATGTATACCTAAATTAGATAAAAATCTGCCTTTCAATTTGTGTAAGTGATTAATTCGTAAGTGACAGTCTGTCTATACGGCAGAGCAAGAAATGCCATTTGATTAAAAAGTAATGTACCGTTAAATTTGCTTATCTTATTTTAAATTAAACGACGTGAGATACTATCAAAGATATTTTTCGATCTCTAAATAGGTACGTCACACAAAATAAATACGTCGGATCGCATAATCACATTTTAGGTATGTAGTTAAATCATTTTATAGAATTTTTTTAATTAGGTTCTTACTAGTGGTCGCTATTCGCCCCACAGAACTATATCAATTTATTTTAATAGTCGCCTATTTACTTAATTCGACAATTTTAATTCTAAACCAAGGATTTTAATATACCTTCCCATCTTCCCATCTTTGGTTAGATTTAAAGCATCTTTCTCTTTTTTCAAGAGTAGAGTAGCATTTGGCTACTACCATGTGTAAGGAAACAGAAATTTTATTTCTTAAGTAAAAGTTACTTACTTAGGACCTAACTTCACAAACTATACACTTTTTTAAAATATGCGGCTTTTCGGTTTCATTACTACAAGATATTGTTTAACAGGAAATAAATTAACAGTGGATATGTCACCGGAAATCTATAGGCAATGGATTTAATGCCTGGAGCGTCTAGGCAATGCGTTTTTTTTAAACTGTGCCCAGGTAATTTATACAATTTCTAGAGATTGTAAAGAGTACCTGTGGACCCATCGGTAATGTGTAAAATAAACAGATTTAGCCTGTATTTATCCTAAGCAAACCTAACCTGCCTACCCAGTTGCATATAAAATGACAGATCGATTTTATAATTCTCACCGAATGAATTCCAGACCAATATAGTTGGGTTGCTCAGAGTGGGTTAGGTTTAGTTAGTGTTGTGACCTAAACTTAGCGCGAGCCGAGCGAGCAAAGCGAGCTTGCCGCGGCAGCGACCGGCGAAGAGCTAGCCACCTGATCGGTAATTAATCTCTTATCTATTAGACAAGTCCGTCCGTCCGTCCGTGGTGCTGTTTCAGCGGCCAAACCGTAAGAGATAGAGATATAGAGAATGTTTAAGTTATAAGTTAAGAATAGTCTGATAAGACTACAAACCGGATGTGAGTAACGTAACACTTCCGGTTTTCGAGAAATCACGTGATTTCTATTTCAAACGAAACCACACAAAATCTCCGAAGTTCTCAATTAATTAAATACATTTTTTTTTTGTGAACACTAGGTTCACTGGTTTGCTAGTTATCTATACTTATAATAAATCTGTAAAGATGTCAATTCTGTACATGAAATATATTTTTAAAATAACTATCAGGGGGTGATTAGTGATCGATACTGATGCCAAAAATGCACTCAGTAAAAATTTTGTCTGTCTGTCTGTCTGTCTGTCTGTGTGTATGTTCCTTATAGAAACAAAAACTACTCAACGGATTTTAACGAAACTTGGTACAATTAGTATTCATACTCCTGGGCAGGTTATAGTATACTTTTCATCACGCTACCATCAATAGCAGCAGAGTAGTGAAGGAAAATGTTGGGAAAACGGGAGAAGTTACTCCATTTTTTAAGCTTCCGTCGCGGGTGCAGCCTTAATGGTTAAAGTTACATAGAAATCATGTATGACGGAAATATTCTACATAAAATTGTCTAAAAAATATCCCGCAACAGCATATGTCTATCTTTTATGGTTGACTCACAATAACACGTGTAATTATATAAATAAAGTCATTCTTTATAGCACAAGCCTGAGAACAAAAACTATAGTTTTCACTACAGCTCTACACCGAAGCGAAGCAAGGGCGGGCCACTAGTAGATAATAAATGAATCAAACAAGGAAAAATCTACACGCTATCTCCTTTTACACACATTGCCGATTGTGCAATCGGCATTGTATAGAATAAATACAATGCCTATGCCTAAATTATAAAATGAATAATATTTCATACATTGTCTTGACGTTTTTGGTATTCTTTATATTGCCTAGGTATTATACAGATTACCGGTAACATATACATTTTTCACCTTACGCTCATGTGAATGCAGCGAAATGGCCAAGCCACATATTTTGACTGAGGTGATAGACTTTGTGGAGTTAGGCCTTGTATAGTTAGGATGTGTAGAGTTAAAAGCTTGGCTGTAGATGAGTTTGCGAGTACGAAATGTCATTGTAAAATTTTGTATAGAAACTTGAACAGCAGTGCCACAACAGACGTAAAGAGAACTAAAACTCAGCACACATTACTGGATTTATTATTAGTTCGTGCTAAGAGTACTGATAGGTACGTTTTTCACAGTGGGAATTATACAGTATCGTCTTGGCAACACTTTACGTGAATATTTTTTGGTGGATAAATATTTCTATAAAGTTATCTTAAATAATTTTATGGGTAATAAATGAAAATTTAAATTGTTTTTCTTTTACAGGTCATGGTCTTGGGACACAGTACGGTGGCCGAGGTAGTCTGTGAGCCTCTCCAAGAAGCTGGTGCAGTGGTATCTGGTCTCCCCACGGGGCCACTTTCTGCTCCTCAATCGGTTCCCTTATCAGGGCCATTGCCTCCTCCCTCGCCGTTGTCGCCCTCTGCCCCACCAGCAGCTTTGCTGTTCCTAGGCGGTTCAAAAGCCCCAGTGGACCCAAGAGCATCAGCCACATCCCTCGAGGGGGAAGTCTTGGTGGTAGAATATCAACCTCCGCAATGGGACGGCAATGACCTCGAGTCGTTCATTGCATGGGAGAAAATGTATGGTTAGTATTATCATTTTACTGTTCATAATTAAGGTACTATCGCGCAATTTTGCGCTCTGTCACTTGGCGATCAAAATGCTTTGAACGGTTTTCTACAGTAGTTTTTACTACGCCCCGCCTTCGCGTCGGACGCGCCAATCCGGGCCGCCGCACAAAAGTAAGACAGAGAGCATTTCATTGATTGAATAATGAATTGAATTGCATTTGTTTTAGTTGCAATTTGTCATCCGCATCGTGATCGCGACAGCGCTATACGAAAAAGTAAGACAGCGATATTTACATGTCAATGAATGAATTTTTACTACGCCGCTACCGCAGGCGATTATGGCATTATGGGTGACAGAGCGGGTCTTTCCGCGAGTGTACAAAGTAGAACTGTATTTATAGAAATACATAAATTTATAGAAAAGGAAATGTTCAATTGTTTCTTAATTTAGATATCATAGTTAAGTTTTGCTATTTTAATAGAATTCACTTAATTCAGCTTAAAAATAAAAAAATAAATACAAAATCGAAAGTAAATTCTGGATCACGAATTTAAAGATAAGTATTTGACAAATTCTAAGAAAGTAAGGGGAAAGTGGATTTTCCATTCGAAATGAGGTGCGCATCTAAGGATACTTCCTTAGCTCCACCTAACAGAAGATCAAAGTGTAATAATCACTATAGTGCTCAGTTTCTGTTGGTTTGAAAAATATTTAAAAAGTTTATTGCTTAACCAACAGTTCCCAATGAGTCGTTTGCTTGATTAGAACTAGATGTTTCACATCAGGTAAAAAGAAATACGACTTTTTTAAATAAACAAAACGTTTTGAAACAGTTGTAGTAACAAAATTTCGTAGTACATACAGCACACATTTGGTTGCGAGTTGCGACGACGTTCGGCATTCGGTATTCCGTGTGCGGAGAAGACGATGTTAGTAGAAAGCTGTTTGGCAATAATGAGAAGCAAGCCGATGTACGGTAATCTTTCGCAGAAGTGCCTTGTATGCAGTAAGTTTGTAGTTGTCGTGACTTCCATGCTGATATTAGATTGATAAAATATAATCCTTACATTCGAAACCGATAAGGACGGTTTGTTAACAACGTCTTTATCTTGGTCGTGGGGGTAGGTGACCTATAAATTCTTCAAACTATTTCTAAATGAAGATATCTAATGATAGCAATAAAGAAAATTTACTAGTAAAAAATGCCAAGCATCAGACCAGGCTCTAAATCGAGCAGTGTAATGCTTAAATAATATCATAGAGTTGTAAAGAACTTATAACTACAAAAAGTTTAGAAATCATTGATTTGATTAATGTGCTATCATAACCTATCACACTTTTACACGCACACAACTCTCACAAAATCAAATCATTCATATATTTAAAAATACAATTACAGAAATAATAAGATTGTTAATAATAATAACAATCGCAATATTGATGAAGACAGATATCAATCTGTCATGATATAATAAAGGAGCCTCATCGGATACCAATAAAATAAACACGATAAATCTTTTTTTATAATAGAAAAACACTCATGACTTATTGATTAACTAATCACAGTAATGATTAGTTCAAGGAGTCGAAAAGGTCTGGGTCATTCGCGGATGAACTAAAATGCAAGGTGAACAATTCATTCGACTTGTGATCTGACCTTTCTAACGTTTACTCAGTTACAATGTTGTGAAAAATACCCTGAATTTCTAGATAAAATATTAATACTTTATTTTTAATGTAAAGGTTCGGCCACATTATATAACATATTACATGACTTTTGTTAAATAGTTTGGACACACCGTGATACATTTTGGGACCGTATGTTTTCATAGGTCACGATAACAATATTGTATAGAAAGTCGTAGAGTGTATGTTTTTTAAGTTATTTATAATGTACTTATTGTAGACCGAGTTTTGGCACCGTTGCCTAAAATTTTATTTACTGTTGCAGAAATAAATATTTCTAACACTCACACTGATTATCCTGGCTTACATTGGGGCTAGTTGGGTAATGTAATGGGATAATAGGGTATCGGATAGAATATATATGACTTTGGTACACTTTGGTGTATGAGGTCGTAACAAAAAAGAAAAAAATAAGAATAAATCATGAGAAAAACCGTCTCCTTTGTTTCAGCTACAACATTGTTTTCGGCAGTGGAGTTATATGGAAAGCCATTACTACGAGCTGCTGTCATCACTAAAGAGGAATTTCATTTATTATTTTATTACTTACAATCAGTTTCGGAAGCTAGTGAATCACTAACTGAACGAATGAGGAAATACATTGACTCGGGTCTATTAATAAGTGAAAATAAAACAAAAGAAGACGATACTGTATCTGTTTCATCAAAAAAATCGTTGCCAGAAGAGGAGTCAAAAAGCATTTTGACCGAACTAATTCAAGAGGGACTTATATCGCAACATGATATTGATGCGGTTTCAGAAATAACTAGCTCAGATTTCAATGAACAAGTGTCCGATAACCGTAAATCTGACGATGACAACGGTTCCAGTATTTCATCAATAAGTGCTGGTTTACGAAAGGTCGTAGTTGACATACCCATAGACTGTAATGAATCCATAGCAGATAGTTCCATAGTAGAATCAAATGATAATGTGACAACTGTGACGATCAGAAGTGGTGGACAATGTTGCGCAGATCATAGAATATCAGCGGATGTAACAGAAAACGTTTGGGCAAATGTGAGATGGGATTTTTTGAATCCAAACGATTTCGGCTACGATCAAGTTCGTAGCGTTAAAAGATGTCGTTCTGACTCCGCTATAACACCCGTGGCTCAGAGGAATCATGAAAATGAGGACATTTATGAAAGACTGCGTGACGATGAAGTAGAGTCTAGTGGTAGCATAACTCCTTACGAATCAATCGAAGACTTGTATGATCGTATCAAAAATACGCCGTACGCTAGCGCAGCGGTTGAGGAATCTTCACCTTCAACTGAAAGCCAATCTGAGCCGCAATATCCTGATTACTACGAAAAGTCGAGCACTACTCGTCAGAGTTCCGCTAGCAGCGAAAAAAGCGGCGCCTCATCCGCGTTTCCATTTTCGAAATGTGGTTCGAGTGATTCGACGAGTGCGTTTGCGTCGTGCGAGTCGACTAGCGGGATCAGTACTTTCGCAACGAAAAGTATCCCGGAGTCACTGAAGTGTCGTGAATTACCACCACCACCGTCGGAGGGTGAATCCAGCGAGAGCGCTATTCTAATGAAGCAACTGTTTATGGGAGAATTAATGGATGCTTATGGAGAGTTCCTATCTACGTATCCGTTTGCACGTGCTTTATTAAGACGGAAGGCGCGTCGAGATGAGCACTTTACTGCACTTGCTGACATCCGTAGAGGGGCTGCCAAGTACACCATTTCTGAATATCTGGAATTACCGGTAAGTTGCTAGTTATAATTGCCTATATAGCGTTCGTGTCCTCTTATTTTCCTAGCAGTTGGTGTGAAAAAAAGCATAGGTAACTTAGAAGCACGATACCTAATGTCAATTATTAGTATGGGATTATTTTTATCATAACAGCATTTGTGGAAGTAGTGCCGCTAAATGGCATTCCTTAAAAGACATAAAATTTCACGTTGACACAAACATGATACACTTGTTGCTTTGTTGAACTTAATCGTGTATCTTTACTCTTGACCTTATGTAAGAGCGTGCATAGATGTGCTTTGTTGAGTGTAATGAGCGTATGGCCGTTTCGTTTAATAATATGTCGCTACGGTGTCTCTCGAGATTGATTTAGATAGGTCTGGAGGCAGTTAAATCGCGGCCGCGCGACAATGATCCGCGACGTGCGCACGCGCCGCGCCCATTCAATGCTAATGGGCCGGAAGAGTGCACGTGGAGCCTCTCGCGGTGATTACAGGCATTGTCTCCCTGAACACTGCCGTGCCCGACTCAGATTTCAACGCCCTTGTACTGTTTTCCTTTTGAAATATGTATGAACTTGATTGTAACGAGAGAAAAAAAACGTTGAAACCGTTATATTCAAACACACGCCTTGTAGAATGTCAAAATATGTGGACGTCATTCATAGTATGAAGAACAAAAAAACTTTATCTACTCGAGTAATAGAGAAAACGCCTTCAGATGAAGATAATGTACAGGCACAGTTTGTAGTTTTACATACGTAAAGGAATGTCCGACATGATGTAACAAATACGACTTTACATAGAGTTAATGTTACTGAGCGATAAGCTATATAAATCCTTTTTGTAGTAACGAGTATGTGTGAAATGCATTCGTGATTTTGATTCTATCGATAGAACTCGCACGTCCGATGATACATCTCTAACAGAAAGGGTTGTCTGTTGCACACAAGAACGATATAAGTACCTCGACAAAATACAAAAGTGACTTGTATAATTTACCTAAAGTTCTTTAATTGTAACACACAAATTATGTGCACATTTTTCGTAAATTTTGTGCACTTTTCTTAATGGATAAATGTAAATTATGAAGGATTAGAATAGTTTTAACATCAGAGCTAAAAGTAAAAGTAAGTAAAGTAAAAGTATTGATTATCTTATATAATATAAGATTTATTTATAAAACCTTTTTGTTTCAAAAAGCCAACCCTAAAATACAACAAGTCTTGTTCAGCGTGCCAACGATCTGATAGTGCGAGTGCGCACTAATGCTTGTCGCTTTGCACTACCAATGTGCGTCCATTTGATCAAGTCTCATAGTTCTGCAAGTCCTTAACTTAAGCGAAATTGTGCCTTAAGGAAGTAGACAAAGAAGCAAGGTTTAATTTGTTTCATTCTCCAGACATTTGTCTAGAGAACGTATCAGCTATCGTAAGTATTTTAAAACATGTAAGCTTTTATATTGGTACATCCCATTTTATATTTCACTGGGGATGGTCTCCGCACGCATGTAACTTATAAAGGAAAAAGTGAGAAGTGTTGAAATAGTACAAAAACCCCATCTGGATATTATTTTGGTCGGTTCTTGTGGAGTTCCCAAAAAATTACTTTTTTACGAACCTAGTTCTGAAAATTAGGGACAACAAAAAATCGGTAGATCCGTTCTTAAATAATGCTCCGATATACTACATGCGTGTGAAATAGGAATCATTCACTGCTGCATGTGGATATATAATTTTATATATGAGGATAGGAGAAAACTGCAAAGTTCTTAATTTTACAATTCATAAAAGGTTTTCAAAGTATTATAATGTCTTGAAAAAATAATATTATAAATTTAATTAATTCCCTGTTTCTTTAATTTCTAAAGATTGATATTGCAATATCATTAGGTCTGCTCCTGCGTTGCTACCATTACCAATTCCCTTTTTTCCTACGATATCATTGTTTTACTATGTGAAACTCTGACGTCCTAACATTTTGTATGAACAATAGTACATTATGGATTAGAAAATTTTGTTTAAGTCTTCTAGTAGCAAACATCCAACGGGGAGTTCAATGTTTTGTAACTTTTTTCTTAGTCCGTTGTTTCCGAACAAATTGCTATCATATGTGATAATATCGATGATGACGGGGATAAAGGAATGGAAAGTAAACGTAAATTATATTTATTAAGTCCGTCAGTTCGATTATCAAAAATTAATGTACACTTATCTCTTCTTTTGTCAATTAACAAAAAAATGACAAAGATAAAGCGTGTCAAAATTTGTCGTCATCTCGTCACATTCAAGTAAAAATTGTACCATGGCGTGACTTAATGCGACATTACAAAACCAATATATCTCTGTAATGTTTTGATTATGTTAAAAAAAGAAAACACATTAAAAGAAAAAAAACTTAGACATCATCCCTCTTAAAATTAGTAGATAAAAACAATGAGTTTAGATGCTTAAATATTCACTTTCAAATGCACTGGTGTCGTTATTTCTAAAGACTAGTTTCCTTCACAGATTGTACTCTCTCAGATTTTAACTAAAGAACGTGTCATTAATGCTGCATCTAGAGTCGATTAATCTTCTCATATCATTTTAAGAAGAATCATCGATATCGATTGCACAGTAGCCCTCGTTGTAAGAAAGGGACAGCATAAATAATATTTACTTTTACGATATTTTTTACGGATACCACTCATAAAACAAAACACTGTTTCAACTTTCAAAAGGGTTCAGATGCGTTTTTTAATTTTTTAACATTGTATATTTATACTTTTTACTTTTGTATATTTCTCTAGGTTTCGGATCGGATAAGCTTCCTTTGAAAAACCAAAATCGAACGTTCGGCTACTTAATCGAAAGTTTGAAATTGTTGCGGTGTATGGTGTATGATGATTGAAAAAAAAAGGGTTCGTGTACTTATGTACGTGCGTGAGAAGTTATACTTCTTTGGTATCATTAAAAAACAGTTTCTAATTGCATGCAAATAAGTAATTACAATAAAATAATAAAAGATCTAGAAAAAGATAGTAAAGACAGTCAATAAAGTTCAGTTTTAATTTGAAAAATAAAATAAATAATCAAAATATTCAGTTTTAATCACTACTGAATATAATTTATTAGCACATATATGCTTCCCACTTGTATGAAACTAAAACACGTGCTGTGAATATAGAAACTAGTAACATGTGGATAAAAAATGAATAGTTTACAAAAATGCTTTTATTTACTGCACTAAAAAGCCAAAAATAAACAAAATATACTCCCTGTTTACTTCATTAGGGCCTTAGAGTTAGCCATGTTTATAGTTTATTTTAACATACATATTTTTGGCTTGTTAGTGCAGTAAATAAAAGCTTGTTTTTAGTTTTTTTAAACTATTATTTTATGTTACTCTTTTTAGTTTCGGTCATCAGCAAAAAATAATAGGTTAATACGAATCTAATGAGCCCAAACTCGATAATGTTTACTAGTAGGCAGTCCAAGGTTCCATCAGCCACCTTCGAGTCACATCATCAGACCAGCTCGATGGTACCATAATATTGTATTATCATATAATCAACATATAATTGCCAAGTTTCATGATGATACAAGAATAAGAAGTGCGTGTAATTCAGATTCTTAGATTTTATTACATAGTTAGTTACATACAAGTCGACCTAATAAAAGCGCGTTAATATTAAAACGTGAAACCTTGTACTACTACTTATTTTCATTGTAAACATGTTGACTTTAAAGATGTAATTAAAACGTTTCACCAATTAAATAAAAAGAAAACCGCGGATCTGTGGGACAATTCCGTTGGTGTTTCTAAATCGGTAATTGAGACAATAGCTGCTATTCTAGCTTGCATATTTAATGATTGTGTTAACTGTGATGTTTATCCTCACCTCATGAAAAACAGCAAGATAACTCTTTTGCATAAAACGTGAAGTACATCAGACCTCACAAACTTTAGACCAATTTCTGTGCTACCACACCTTTAGAAATTTTTCGAAAAAATCATGTAAGATCAAATGCAATCACATATTAATAAACATAATATACTTCACTGTAAACAATTTGGTTTAACAAGGGGTAGTTCAACAACCGATGCCGGTGTTGAACTTATACAACAAATTTTTGACGCCTTGGAGAACTCGCAGTACTCTCTAGGTGTGTTTTGCGACTTGTCCAAGGCTTTTGATTGCGTTTTCATGAGACATTACTCAGGAAACTCCAACACTATGGATTTAGAGATACTGATCTGGATCTTATTGCGTCATCCTGATGGATCGGATTTTCTTATTTTTAATTTATATTAATGACTTGCCTTACTATGTTAGAGATAAGCATGAGACAATATTGTTCGCGGATCATCCGCGAATGATTATGATATTATGATGGGATTACTAAATGAAGGAAAAACGAAATGTATGAAATTTGTATTACCTAATGTAAAGGATAGGAATGTGGGCCTTGTAGACACCACAGTATTCTTAGGGATAACTTTAGATTCTAAGCTTCAATGGGGCCCACATATTGATAAATTGTCAAATAGACTTAGCTCTGCAGCATATGCCGTAATGAAGATACGCCAGTTAACGGATGTAGATACGGCCAGATTAGTGTATTTTAGTTATTTCCATAGTGTAATGTCGTACGGAATTTTATTGTGGGGAAACGCCGCCGACATTCAAACTATTTTTGTGCTGCAGAAGGAGCTATTCGATCAATTTATAATCTTAAAGTTGAGAATTCATTAGGAGATAGGTTTAAAGAATTTGGAATAATTTTGTTACAGTGATGCGCGCGCATCTAAAAATTTCACTCTCATCATTTTTTCATAACGCGCCTAAGGAAGTATAACTTTAATAAGGCAGAAACCTAATCTGTTGGCAGGGTAGGGATAAGATGTTTTTTTATTGTAACAGCATTTCGTCGTTGCGACTTCAAGACCTCCTATGTGTCATTTTTATCGAAATACCTTTTTTATACGGGTTTGTTTCAAATTTTGGCGCTACATCGAAAGCAAAAACTC